CAAATTTCTGTGAGGCGAAAGCTATAATATGAAGAACTAAATCTGAAAAACTCGCTGTCTGCTGTTAAGCAAATGGGGAAGCATAATACTAGTTTGAATGTGTTTCGCTGCCTCTGGCATGGAAAATTTAGTTTTTATAGAAAATAATATGGATCAGTGTAAATATATAAATATTCTTAAAAAAAACTAAAAGCATCTATAAGAAAAATCGGAATGAAAAATACATTCAAATTCTATCTTAATAACAATTTTAAACATACAGCATGTTCACTTTTGGTTGTGACTGCCCTGAAGATATCAGACCTCCTCCATAATCTTCAGATCTAAATCCTAGCAAACATGTAAAACGTAAATCGAAGAAAGGTGCAAGTAAACATGACATTTCTTCGAAAGCTCTAATCAAACACTTCTTACAAAGGAATGGTATAAAATGGAACATTATTTTATCAAAAGAAAAAATAGTTAAATACGTACTAAAGCGCATGAAAAGTGTAATTTTAGCTGAAGAATATCTGTTGAGATATTATATCTAAGGATTAAAAAGAATATTAAGTTTGTTTATTAGGAAATGATGAAAAGATTTAAAGCTTCAGAATAAAGCGAAATTTCTTCGGAATTAAAAAAAGTGCGGGGGGGAATTGCATGTTTCCGTATTTTTTATTGCGGCAAAGCACTCAAAGGCTATCTCGCCTAGGCATAGCCTTTACGAAGGACATTCTTAAGGTAAACTGGTTCGCATCGATGTTACACATGGGAGAAATCATGCAAACAAGCCCAGTCACCGAAATTCGAGCCCCAGACCGCTTTACCAGCGCTCAACGTCTTTACCACTTGGCCGCTGGTGGATGAAAAACTGCATCTGATAACCGAAGTGATAACAGTTTGGAAGTCACAGTATTTAGGAACTATTTTTATCCATATACGTAAATATATATAATTTGGAATATATATAAATATTGTTAAATAATTCGTTTAAGTTAATTGATAAACTGTAAAACTAAATTAAATGCACAGCCATTAAACTTCTGTCCTCCAATAACTCCTATCCAAATTCAAGTGTAGCATAAGAAAAAACATTGTTCTTTCTGAGTTTTTGAAATGTTTTCTTATTTTGAATGCTGATTTGATTTAGAGATTCAAATGAACGATTTCTTCAATTTAAACTGCTTAAAAATATAGGGAAATTGTTAATTGTTGTTTTCTGTTACCGTATCAGATAAACATAACATTTTTTTCTGTTACCGTATCAGATAACATGATTTACTAATATCATAAGTTTCAAATAACTTGGCAAAGTTTTCAGATTTTACACTTTTTATTAATTAATATTGTGAACAATATAATTATAAAATAAGAGCATATGTAAATGACTTTTATAATTTGCTTATTTCAATCATTATCGTGATTTTACTAAACAAACATCGTAACTTATACACGGTTATTAAACTATATAAACCATTCAGGTTCTTAATATAATTTATATAAACTTAATATTTCATTATCAAGAAATGGCATATCATTTCGGCGATTAATGCTGTATTTATTTTATTTAATCCCAATTTCTGATATAATTGGGTTCCTAGTGTTTTTTTATTTTATTTTCTGTTAAATCATTCATAAGTATGAACAAAATCTCAGTATATCCATGCAAGTGTGTCGCTTACTCAAATGCCATCATCCAAGTGCAACATAGCAGAAGGCTTGAGATAAATAATAAACACGGAGAAGAATGCGCACGTGACACATTTTTGTGTCATATCTCATCAGACTAATGGAAAACAGCTCCAGAATCTTAACAAAAATAATAATTACTATATGGACACCTATTTCAATTAAATATTTCCCAAGATGAATAAAAGTTCAAGCACGATACCATTTATACCGTTAAGAATACGTCAGAAATAAGTTTTCCAATAAATATCCTTTAAAGTTCCCTTAAAATTAATACAAGACATTTGGGATTCAAAAAAACGAGTTAAAATAATTATTTGTGCAAAACAGAATTTCTTTTATGATATAATAAAATAATTTTTAGAGAACATGTAATTTAATCTTGCTATTGCTAATTGCTGAATATTTATAAAAGCTACTATTAAACATATTCTATGCATTCTGATTTGTGTGATATCTGTAACAGCTGTTGAAATTTTTATCGTAATGAAAGTTTTATCTCTAATTATTAATTATTACTTATTATCTTTTCCTCGAATTAGAAGGTATAAACTACTTATAGGACTGTTAGTTATTCTCATTTAAACTTCTGTAAATATTTTTCTTAAAATTTAAAGTACTAGGTAACCACTTTAAATTGACAGACATTTTAAATTATCCCAAGCAGCACACGACGTAGCAAAGACGTTGCAAACTGGTCCGAGAGGTTGCAAAGTGGTCGTGGTAACTTTTACGACGTCTTTAAAACGTAGCGAAGACACAAAATATTTGCCGTTGCATCTTGGCAATTTGTCGACGTCGCTAAAACGTCATGATATGATCGCTTTCAGACATGGTTGTTTTAACATCTTTTTCATAGTTCATCAGCGTTACTTTTAGAACGAAAAGAGACTAAATCTGCCCTTTCAAGAATCTTAAGTCCACATAAGATTTATTTTGCAATGTTGCATTACTTTATTTCATCTAAATATATTAATCTAAGGTAGATTCATCTAATGAAATATAAATTTAATATAAATACTTGAATTATTAAATTTAATTAGTGCTAAAAATACGTGCTAAATTATTGTTTAAAATTTTGTTAAAATAATTAATACATAAATATTTTTTATAAATATTATAGCAAAATATTTAAAAATGAAACTAATCTATAAAGTAAGTTATTAAGTTCTGCATTTTATATATTTTAAAAAATCATTGTTTCCGAAATCAGTGAAAATCACATGTTAGCAATTAATTCACTGCTGAAATATGACTTTATTTATTATTTTTGAAGTAAGAACGAATTTATTTGAATTAATATGCTTACAGAATATGAAACATTTTACCACATACAGAGCAAAAAGTGCGATTTTCTCGAAGATATGATTACGCGTGATGCACGGATAAAAATGGGGCGACTTTAAGAATTCCAAGAAAATGCCCAATATTAAAAAACGTTGCATATCCATGCATATTTAACAACCGTTCAGTATATCTGACGGAAAACTCATCGACAGTCAGGAAAAGCAGAACAGAAAAATTAATGGAAGAGAAGAAATAAATATTAACACTTTTCATGGAAAACGACAAAATTAATGGCTTTGATAAATTACTAATAAATGTTGACATCAAAATTAAATTAATCAAAATTAATGTACACAAAAATACGAAATTCCTTACTTATAAAAATTCTGATGAACTGTTTGTTATGTTTTTACGCTTTTGTCCGTCTGCATGCATTTAAAAATGCTTGGTTTAATCCTAGTATATGGTACACTCGGAATTTGGCGACATTGTGACATTACAAATGTTTTAGCGAAACCGATAAATATAATCTTGTGAACATTGTTCGTAATTCTATTCAGTTGAAATAATTCTTCTAGGACATTTAAAAAACATTCTATTAAATTATCAGAAGAACCGTCGAAAGGTTTAATGCAATCGTATAAATCGCTTCGTATCATCGACTGAACTGCTGTTCGAGCGATTGACATTCCATGTACATATTATTTACTGGATGATTATATAAACGAACATCTGAGATTACAGGCTTGCGCGCTTTGGCTAGCTGCCAAATTCGAACAAGTTAATCAAAATCGTAAAAACAACCTTGTATTTAGCGTAAGTATATTGAAACACTCAATCGATTTCGAGGGCAGCTAAAAGTCCCTCCTCATCAGGAGAAAGAAATACCTAGAAAGAAGAAAACTAAAGGGAAGGAGTCTCAGAAACACGTGGTCCTTATCAGCACTGCACGTGGTTATAACCGGATTTTTAATCAGAGTTACACTGGCCGCCTACTTTTACTGAGCCAGGCTATCTGATCAAACATGTAACACAAAGGACAAAGAATTAGCGAAGTTAAAAATAGGGAGCGAGGGGCAACTGCACCTTCATGCTCAAAATCTGAACTTAGAATTTAAGTTATTTAAAAAATATAGTTTAAAGTACTGCTATTATTAATTATGCATATTTAGTCTAAAGAGAAAAAATTGCATTATCTTCTGGTTTTCAGGAAATGATAAAATATTTAAATTTAGAAAAATACAAGGAATACAAAATTTTAAAAAAGAAGAAAAATACATTAATTATTAAGCTTATTTTTTTGCATAAATCAATATGTAACACAAGGACGTCATAACGACGTTTTCACAACTGTTGCAAAAAGGTTGAACTCTGCGAACATTTAGGCGTCGTTAAAACGTCGTGATACGATGCTTTCACAACCAAAATATAAAGGGAGAAAGACGCAATAACGACGTCTATTCATCATAAACCTCATCTGCAAAGACGTAATAAAGACGTCTTTGCAACGGTTGCAAAACAGTGGAGTTTCGCGGACATCTGGGTGTCTTAAAGACGACATACTGCAACGTTTTTGCAATGACATACGACTTTGCCGTGCTACTTGGGATCCCCATTTACTCTTTTCCCAACAAAAGAAGGCATTTTGTTCTTTTTTTTTTTAAGCACCACAAGCTATTATCTCTAAAAATGATATCTAATAAGAAACAAATCTTAAAGGGAAAATATATTACCTAAAGATTATCTATTGCAAGAACATTCGGCTGGGCATTGTTTCTGCATAAGTTAAAATTCTTTATTTGTCTAACTCTTTCTTGATACTCTAAAAATTTCTTAATCCTCTGGCTATTTTTACATAAATTTAATATATAAGCTAAGCGAGCTCGGAAAAAATCATTCGATACCTTTCTTCCTTTATAAAAATTTGGATAATCGCACTAAATATTTTACATTTAAACTCATATAAAATGTTATTTTAATCTTAAACTTTCTTATTTAATCAGGTAATGTTCCCATATTTTAATTCAACCATTTTCTTGCAGAAACATTGAATATGAATCTTTGGTTACGCTATCTACTCAAAGCACTGTTGAATTCCTTCACCATGTGCCAGTGTTATGTCAGAGATGGTCTGGACCTATATCAGTAGCAGTCTACAGCCCCGTTGATGATTATCTCGATGCTCGTCGCTTGGTTCATGCACTCCGACACTGTGATTTCTGCACGCGATATTGGGTAGAGTGGCATTTTTTTTTCCAAAAGCAAGAAATTCCTTTCTTTATGGACACGCAGCTCCCTCAAGATTGTCAGTCATTGATGGATTTCAAACTTAAAAAGAGAAGGTACGCTATTATACAAAATACAGCAGCATGGATAAACGCATCTCAATCCGATAAAAATATTTTTAATTACGATTGAGAAAGAAATAAAATCTTAAAGATACACGCGAGTTCGAACTACACCTCTCAAAAATAAAATTCTTTAAAATAAAGAAATGAAATGTCGATATCTTTAGTAAAGATGCAGAATTTCTGTGTTGGTAATCAAATGTTTTCCCTAATATTGATTGAATCTTAGTCTGACTACCATTCTGCAGACATTTGAACTTAAAAATACACTCATGTCCATAAATTAAGGATAATTCGGAGTCACGCGGAAATCGAACTCTAAAATAAATATATCACCTGTAAAATCACTACACACACCTTCAAGAATCATATGCAAATTTCAGGAAGTAACCAGATGACACCGACGGTACGTCATAATGACGAGAGTGTAAGAGAGTGATATATAAGGAATACAGGCGAAGATGTAAAATTGTTCGCAGGCGCTTTATAAGCATTTCAGTGCAATAACCGAATAGTTATGACACAAAGGATGCATTTGGATGATCCCTGGAAGGAAATTATTGTCTGTTAAAAAAAGGGCCATAGTAAACGCGTGCAAAATTACATTCGTGGTAGGTGGCGGAACAAAGCCAGAAGAGAAACAGAAATCGCGTAACATAAAGTCGAGATATTACCATGTCAAAGAACCACCAAAAAATTTTCAAATGAATATACCTTTCTAAATAATTTATTTAGCAGGCGTCTATGATGAAACAATGTCTTGTTACTAATGCTTTCTATAATAAAAGATCATGTAGTATATTTTATTCTTCATGAAATTATAGGTTTAAAAAAATGGAGTTACGTCCTGAATAAACTGGAAACTTGTAAACATAGTGCCAGCACTGCTGCAAACATAATGTCTGAAAAGTACCAACAGCACCATTATGATGCGTATTCATTTTTATGTGTAGGCGTTTTAAATATGATAGTGTGTGGCTTATTCTTGAAAACTGAGTAGCACGTATATTAATGGTATTTAGAGCACTCGAAATATTTTTCAGCAAGTGATAATGCATCATCAGTACACTATATCGCGTTTATAAAATTATGAATTTTAAAGTTTCAAAACTAATGTAACGTCGAAATGAAAAAAAGTACTTCTTAATCTTCTTTCTATATTCAAGAAATCGCAGAGGTCACCAAATTTGCCTTCCATTCCCATATCCATTCGTGGCATATCCCATATCCATTTGTGGCAAGTTGGGAAGCATAGATTAATGCAGTAATAGTCCATTGTGAATATTTTAAATAATAATAAATTATTATTCTAATCAGCTAGCTGATTCTGAATCAAAAATAGTAACAGATGCCAGATATCTAAGCGAAAGTAAAAGAGCTCTCTAACAGCAGTTTCAAACATTTGGAATTAGAGTCTTTTTTGGAAGAAGAAAAATGGAATATATCGCAACATACAGAAGATTACTGGAGAAGCCAAACAACAAGAATCACATTATTTTTTTTTTTTTTTTTTTAATCCTCGTGCACCACAAAGTATCACACGAGACTTACAAATCGTAAGTAAAAAAGGAAAAATAGTAAGTAATATCATCAGTTTTCAACAATACAATGAATCATAACAAGGGAAAAAAAACACAAGTAAATACAAAAGTATAAAAATGTATAAAGAAATCATTAACAGTGTTTAAAATAAAAGTCAACAAAATCATTGAAAGCTCGGTAGGCCGAAGTCGAGGATACAAAATCATAACATTTCGGCGGCCAATGAATTCCAATGAATTTCAATCTACATTTCAAAAGATTTCTTGCTTTATCAAGCAGTGGGCAGTCAAAAAGCAGGTAGAAAACACTTTGCTGAACGCTAAGATTGCAATTACACAAATTGGAAGATGTCAGCTTAAATCGTTCAAGATAAACATTAAACTTACCATGTCCAGACAAAAATTGCGTAACTTTAAAATTCAGCAACAAGTCCTTACTTTTCAGTCTTTCAAAAATAGTTGGGAAGAATGTTTTTGTAACAGATCCCTTATCAGAAGAAATATAATCACAGTTCCACCGCTCAATCATTTTAGCTTTGAATGTTTTTTTAAAATAAGATTTTGGAATATTTACATCAACGCTAATATCATTTTTAGGTGCATTCTTAGCAAGCCAATCAGCTCTCTCGTTTCCATAATTACCCGAATGTAACCACGAAACACTGAAATCCGAGGACCTAGTGCAAATGTAAAAAACACTGAAATACCCCTCTTCTCCAGATCTCCGAGAGACTGCTGTATATTGGCAATAATATCATTACATAAAGAGGTATTTTTAAGAGATTCCAGGGAAGAGAGTGAATCCGTACAGATTAAGTAGCTGAAACCACGTCCATTCTGGAAAATTATCCACTTGATTGCAAAATTAATACACAGAAGCTCAGAAATACATTCATTTCTAATGCGAAATTGGTGACACTCAATTTCAATATCATTTTCAAAAATAACATAAGCAAAACCAACTTTATCATCAATCCTACTGCCATCCGTATACAACACAAATGAGAATGAATTTACATCAGTGTCCGTACTATCCAGAATCTGTACTGGTTGTCTTACAGAAGGATGTGGTAGAACAGACAAGGGCAATAAACGATCAAAGTGAGAATTGGAGTAATTTGCAAGACTATTCTTGTAATCTATAAAGGTCAGAATAAACAAATCCAGTGGTGGAAATCCGGCAAGAGAGAAAACAGCATTGTAACTAATAGTTCGGTAACCGCTTATAACTCGCAGCAAAATTCGTCTTTGAACTCGAAGCAGGCGTTTAGAGTTAATTTTCTTTTTTAGAGACAATCCCCAAGCTCTACATCCGTATGAAATAGAGGGTGCAATGCCTTGTTTATAAATAATTGCGCTAACATTCGATTTAATACCAAAACTATTACATGCAATTCGATTCAGCCCACGCTGAAGTCTCTCACATTTATTAGAAATGTAGGAAATATGCTTTTTACAGTTAAATTTGCTGTGCAACAAAACACCTAGATATTTAATTTCATTCACCCTCTCAAGGGGATTGTCATTTAAAAGCAATTGATATCCTTCATAAGTAGTATTTTTTCTATCAATAAACATGGTCTTGGATTTTGCATGGTTAAAGTTTAGCTAAAATCTATTGACCAATGATAAATGAAATCTAAAAAAAAACAACAAGAATCAGCGTTATATTTTTTATCGTGCAGGACTAGTTTCGATGTTTCTGTAGTTAAATCATCGAAACTATTCTTGCACAATTAACAAAAATAACGCTGATTCCTATTTGACTTCTCTAATAATCATTACTCTTCGTGTTATTTTAACCTAAAATACAGAAGATAATCTTAATGCAGCCTGTCGAAACACTTCTGAGCAGATTTTAAGGGAGGGGGCACATATCATTCCAGTTACTTATCCTGCACAAATAAGTAATGTAGAATTTCTTAATTACTTTCTGTTGTAGTCTCATACTACGTTATTAACATTTGAAATTTAACTTTTTGTTATGTTAATTTAAGTACCCGTAAGGCACGAAGTTTCGTCTGCCTCACAAGCTGTGCCTCTCTGTTCATTTAAGATTTAAATAAGAAAGGCTTTAACTTACTTTAAGCATGTTATTTTCTTCAGACTAAACAAGAACTCACGATCAGTCTAGTAGAGTCTTCAGGACTTTGACACAATCGTCTAGATACAGTGTAATCCTACAAGCTACTGCACGAGAAATTCTGCTTCAGCATTATCTTTATTCCGTTCATGCACTGCATTAATGAAAGCATATAAACGAAAATATAGCGTCGAAACCAAAACAAAAGGAAAGCATTGTCGAGTAAAATGTGGTAGTCAAAAGGAAAACAGCAGCTAAACTTAACAATTGCATTCGTAATCAAAACATAGCAAATGGAAGAAAAGTGTGAATAAAGTGAGTTTTAAAGCACCTTTCTGCAAAATACGTGAGTTAAAGAGCAAAACAGGTATGAAAATATCGGATGTGTAATAAATAAATGAAATAAAATAAAACAGCGCAGAATTAAGAATTTTTTTGTCTATGATAGTGCTTCTCAAATATTTTAGCCTTACCTCTTAACGAAACATTTGAAATAATTTTCATTCGACAAAGATTGTACGGTTAAAAAGAAATATTTTATTTCAGTTATAAAAAATGCAAATATGTATTTCGAATTTTATTTATGAAGACATAAAACTAAAATAGGTAATCTTGTTTTCAATTTACTGACCTAAACCTGAACAAAGAAATTTGCTTCTATTTTCGCAAAACAAAACGCACATGCTATTTAACTAAAATAATTCTATGTTTGATTATAGCCATATTTGTTTAATCTGATTTTTTTAAAAAAAAAGAAGTACATATTATGTAAAAGATAATTTGGGGTGCTATTTTAATCAAAATCTACATATCAGAGAAATGGTATTTGGTAATAAAGGTGCGTGCGTTGATGACTAGTTAAAGAATTAAAAAGAATTAAGTATTTTTGACATTTTCATTGGTTTGACTATGTATTGTACATACCATAACCGTTATCTATAACACAGATATTTAAAAAGATGTACAATACATTGGTAATCAGTTTATAAAATTGAAATAAGAATTTAAAAAAAAAGGATTAAAAATCTCTTAAATGAATTAAAAATAATTTTCGACTCGTGTGGTCTGGAAAGTGTCAGCAGTTCATATATCTTTTGAGTTCATAAATTTTGACATAACCTAAGCGTGCGTGTGTGCTAGACCAATGGATTAGCAGCTAAAATTAATTTAATGACAAAGGTTTAATCATTGTGTTGTAAACTATACAGGGTGTTTGAGAACTATTCAGAATTGTGCATGGAGGTCCAGGACACGTTAACCGAAAATAATCATGTAGGAACTTCCGGTCGCATGCGCAAGACGGCTATGAACGTCGGAAGGAAATCTGGCCAAGATGAAGAAACAGAAAGCGCTATTAGCGCATACGAACGTGCGGAAATATGAATCTCTACTAGAACAGCCAAAATGGCGATATTCACATCATTTAAGGGGTAAGTAATTGCAGTGGAGCAGTCGCTATGGAACTATAACAATTTCGGTTTCCCAACAGTCGTGTTGTGAGAAATATATTGCATCCGCTGGCCGTAGCTTCCAACATCTACCAGCTGCATTTCAAACAATACTGTTATACTCTTTTTTGGGTCTAATAAAGACTCATTATTTATGACCTGTCTTACGTCTTTCATTCTCAATCTATGAGGACATGTAGCGTTTCGGGGTTGGATATACAATTTTATGTTCTTATATGATTATTGCCTCTTATCGTGTTCCAGATCTATATGTACATTTTTGAACAAAAATACTGAAAGACTCTGTACAATGACTTGACAACAATTTCAATTACTACATTGGAGCAAATAAAGCTTCTTATTACAGTGATACGATTCATTACATGCATTTTTTTTTTATATCTTTCAGATCTCAAGGTATTTATCCGATCAACGTGGGAAGAAATATAGCAAGAACAAAAACTGAAACCCCGTATGTGTTCTCAATAGACATTGAACTTTATCCCAGTTTAGGCATTCTCTCGAAGTTTGAGCGAATGGTCAATTTAAAGCGTCCTTCTGAAGTTCCTCAAGTATGGGTTGTACCAGTATTTGAAGTTCATTCCCAGTTTAGAGCTCCATTCACAAAGTCAGGGTTGAGAAGCATGTACCTAAAAAAGCAAGCTATATCTTTTCACAAGTACAGATGCGATGTATGTCACAGAATCCCTAATGTGACGGAGTGGATCCAATACAAGGTAATAGTGTCTTCTTAATATTTCAGTATTAAATGTATGAAATACTAAGGATAAAAGAATAGCTATAAGGTTCAGTTCCTTGAAATGTTTTAATTTGAATTTGCATACACTATGTCAAACTGAAACTTCAACATATAGAACCACTTGTTTAATTAGTCTAAAAACTGACATACAAGATCTCCACGGTGACACACAGAGATATCTGGACAGCAATTTCAAAAGTTCTCAATTCAATTTCAAAAAGTTTAATGGCCATGTCACAGAAACTGTAACTGAGGTAATGAAAAATTTGACAAATTCCTCCTAGGACGTTTCATGCGTAATTAAAGAACATCTGTATATTTAAGAAGGAAAATTCCAGGTAAGTTTTATTGTTTGAAAGACTATTACATTTTTCAGTATGCCAAAACCAGTGTTCTCATAGAATGTAACTAGTTAATGGATTTAAGAAAGGATATATAACTGACTTTTAACTGATGTGTGTAGAAGTGTACATCGGGCAGGATAACACTTCAATTTCATGATATGTCTATAGATTGTTAGGAAAACACACCTACTAACTGCGTATAGGAATCTGGGTTCCAGAGTTAGATATGGAGTACGAAAGATGTCTACTCAGAGTGAGGATCATTTCATTCTCCGACACTGCCTAATCCTTGCTAAATACGGTAATTAGCTGTAATAATGTATGGTTTTACCGAACCACCATCCTCAGCTGCATTTTGCGCTTTTGCAACTGAGGATGGTGGTTCGGTAAAACCATCGAAACAAGTCCTGTGAAAATTTGAAAATATAACGCTGATTTTTGTTGTTTGACTTCTGAATTAGTATCTGTGGTATATTACTATTATTACGAAATGTCTAGCTACGGTAGGATAGCTTCTTCGCAAAGCAGGTTTAGGTTTTAGTTTAGGGTTGCCAGAAAATGTAAAGTGAATGCAGGGTTGCTAGATTTTGTGCGAAATCGCACATTTGGCGACAAAATTGATTGGCGATATACTATAATGGGGAACATTCTGGAATGAATTCTTACCGTTTTGGCCCCAGAATGTTCTCGAAGGCAGGCCAAAAAACTACATAAACCCTGCCTATACGTGGAGTAGCAGTCTAGTGTGTCTCGAAGTCTATCGAGTTGATCGTCAGTCTAGTCTAGTGTCGAAGTGTCTGGTCGAGTGCATCGTCGAGTCTAGTGAGTGTATCGTCGAGTGCATCACGAGTTGTAGCATGGAGAGTCTCGAGAGTATGTAGAGTTCCTAGAACGACTGTACTCTCCTGTTTCGCCGTGAAGCTGTCTTCACCGTTATAGCCTGATAACCTGAAGGCTATATTGCTGATTGTTTGTTGTAATTTTTGGACGACTGTAAGCGTGTTTTTGGAGCTTTCCTGAGTAATACTCGATAATAAATTGTGTTTTCATTCTTCATCAAGTGTTGTCGTAATCACTCCAAATCCACAAACCCGTGCAGAACGTAACAATACTTTTTATGGTCCAACAGATGCCTAGATGTATCCTAAATAAACAATAGGAGTGACGCCATTGTACACCGAGAAGGTACATTACCTGGAAACATACAGACAACCATCCATGATAAAGGAAAATTCTCTTCAAAAGTTTGAGCAAACATGATCAGGAGAACAGAGTCTAGTCAGAATAATTGGAATCCGGACTTCTATAGAATTCAATATGGTGTGAGGTAGTAAAACAACAAAGAAGTTACCGTGTAACAATGAATTTCATTAAAAAAAAGTAATAAAATAAATGCATTATTTTATTCGGGTAAACATTACTATTTTTTTATAATTCAGCTGCAAGCTGCACATGAATTGCATATACACTTTTTGATGTTTTAGGTTCAGTTTGACATGTGTATAAATGACCGCATTTTCACGATGAAGGGTATGCCTATGAGTTATTTCATTTTATTTTGAGATTCTGAAAATACATATTTGTATCCGTTTGACTCGTTTTTCTTCAAAAAGTCCTCCACGAAGGCATCCCTTTCCTTAGGCAGGTAGTCGTCGAGAGTTTTGCTATAAACAAATAAACCAAACTAAACTTATATGTCACAAAATATGTGACGTTATTAGCTATGAACTAAGATTATTTCAGTATCTTATGTGGATGCAACCCGCCCCAGCGGTTGTCATAGTTAAACACAGCTCTTTTAGGCAAAGGCAGTTTCAATGTTGAGAAGTGTATGTGGAAAAGAAGTATGCCATTTTGAAACTAAAAACTAAATAAAAAAAATTAGTTAATGAAAATTAACCAAATTTTTTGTCTAATTTTCTTACATTTTCTCATTTTTTTACGTCAGTTAAAAACATTTTTAATTGCTTGTTATGACTAAGAAATTACGTTTATTTTTCTATACAACACATTGCTGATTTTTATGGCATTCAAGTTAATCATATTTCAAAAACAACATAATATCTTTTAGTGGTGAAGAAATAACAAAAGCGATAAAAATATTCTTAACAAAGCTATATTTCCAGCTAATCAAATACATCATAAAACATCAAGGTCTTAAGAATAATTTAAGAATAAGAAAGAATAATTTCCGTTATTAGTTGAAACAAAATGCTTGAGAATGCAGCTGTATCAATTGCAAGTTTTTAACTGCATAGTCATAAGAAGTTGTTTAAAGGTATATATTTGGGCTAATGGGCTATTAGTATCAGTATAACTGGAAATTTTACTATAGCCTGCTTAAAAAGGCTCGAGAAATGTTTTTAAACAAATATATAGCATTAAGGAAAAAAATAATAGTTTAAAACGTTTCAGATTTCGATATTTTAGAAACATTAATTTCAAAATTCCTAGTTAAACTGTACAGTCTTTTTTTTTTTTTTTTTTTTTTTTTTTTTTTTTTTTTTTTCCCACCAGCGGCCGAGCGGTAAAATCGCTGAACACTGGTAGTTCGGTCCGAGGTTCGAATCCCGCGAACGGGCTGGCTGCATGGGTGTTTTCGTGGTTTTCCCCATGTGTAACGTGTATACGAGGCAGTTTCCTTTAGAAAGTCCTCCACGAAGGCATCCCTTCCCTTAAGCAGATAGCCGTAGTGTGCTTTGCCGTAGTTAAAATACACATACTTTTTTTGTTTTTTTGGAGCTTATATTTTGGTTTTCAAACGAACTTGGATTTCACTTCATTACTGATACTTTCTGTCCCACTTTCTGTCTATAAACTATCTTTCGACAACACTTTCTATCAATCTTGACCACTTTTTGTCGCACGTAATATAAAAGTAACGAACGCAAATAGAGACGAAGCAGTAACATGAATACTAAAAGCGAATTAGACATAACTCTGTTATTATGCAGAAAAACAAAATATAAAATTTAAATCAGACTTCACAACTAAAAAAATTAATTTTATGAACGCCGACATCTTATCCATCAAACCAGTATGAGCAGAGATCGAAGGTCAGTACTTTAAAACAAGAGTCCTACTAGAGGATATTTACGTACCATTATAACTGTTCAGTGAGACAGTTATAATAATAAAATAACGAAAACGTATTTCCTTTAGAATAAAAGTGGATTTTCCCATTAGATTAAAGGGAAATACCAAATCTGTTTACCTGCCAACTTCTACATATTTAAGTCTCTCATCTACTGCTTAAATATTCTTCTACTAATTTGGATCTTCTAAACAGGATAGAAATGTGTGTGTGTGTGCATGTGATTATAACAAAGCCTTGAGGGCTATCTGCCTAAAGGGAGGGATGCCTACGTGGAGGACTTTCTAATGAAAACTGGCTCGTATACACGTCACACATGGGGAAAACCACGAAAACGTCCAAGGATTGAAACGGAAGAAGATTAAAGGAAAAGGCTATGCTTAATTGGTTAACTAGTTTAAAACCTGCAAATTTTCTCTAGAAGTAAGGATTTTATGAATTAGACAGTTGACTAGAATTAAGTCTAACGTGTTTGCTTTAAATACCTTCATTCGATCAGCTTTAAGAAGCTGAAATCAGTGCATGAATAAGTAAGTCTTTCGCAGCATTAAAATTCTCTTGCATTATCTGCCTTATAAGCTTAAATTCTTACGACTGGTGTTACAGTATTAGACTTAATTCAATTAATTCACAAATTAAAAAGTCTCTTAATATAACTTCTGTTTTTGTATTATACACTTAAGGACAGCTCTAACTCAGAAGCTGCTGAATCTTTAGAACCTTTGAAGATATGGACTACAGTGAAGAGAAATCGCCATTTTCGACTTGATTCGTGGGAGCCTTTCTTTATAGGAACTAGAGAAGACCCTGAATTTGACATAAGATTATCCTGGGAAGGAAAACAAAATAAAATGCAAGTGGTGAGTAGAAAAATATTTTTATAAAATATTATTATTAATATTTTTTATTAATTGACTTTATTTAAACTGAAAACATACAACAGAGAAATATTCTAATAAATGCAGACGCATAGTTTTCCATCTTTCTTGCAATTTAATGGTAATGTAATTTCGTTGTCATGTCTATGATTATACTGCAATATACAACAATATTTCCGTTAATTGGAAAAGCAAATTAAAACTTACTGAAAAACATATTAGCAGACAATATCCGAATGTTGCAAAATAACGACTTCCCAGGAAATTTAGTTATTCTAATCTTAATCTAAGGACAGTAGTGAAAGAAATGTTTGACCTCCGAGCTAACTGATAATTAATCTAAATTTTTAATTTTAAACGATTGTTGTTGATCGGTAAATTTTGATGATTACTTTGGCTGCGATTTCCCTCCTTATTTAACACAAGTTTCGTGTAATTTAATAACATTTGACATAATGGCTATTTCTAAGCATTGCTCAGGTCTGCGCATTCTAAGCACTGTAGCGAAATATCAAATTGCTTTAAATTTTATTTTGGATCCTTCCTGTCATAGCATCCATTATAGATGCTAAAAGAATATGCCTTATCAGAGCAATGTATGGAACTTTTCTGTTTCAATGCTTAAAAAGCTTCCACCCCCAATAAATGCCCGATTTCCTTTAATATGCTCTACATGCGTATCAGATTGTAGCATTTCTAGAACACCCCTTGCATAACTAAGGAAATGATGAAGGCATCGATTTTAGTACGCTAATGCCCTATAGAAAGGTAGACTGATACTTCTCATATTAACGGGCTGGACTTTTCAATTCTTGCATTGAGATGTTATACATCATTGCATCACTTGCAGTTTGCTAATTGCTTTGCCAAAACTTATAGATTTTCGCAGTACTGAAAAGTCACTTGTCCTGTCCTACTTTTAGGTGCTGCTGCTCAACCATTAGGAATGTCATCACACCCTTGAAAAGGGATATTAAAAAAATTCTCATGCGATATCTAAGAACTGACGAATTATCATCAGCCAGATAATTTTAATTAAGTAATGTGTCAAATACCAAGAAAACACAATCAATATCAAATAACTACAGACATTTATTGATCCATTTTATGGAGTAAGTATTATAATTCTGCAGATGATAATAGCTATATACAAACACTGGCCAATGAATTAGAAACATTTGAAAATTTCATTTGAATGCGTGATAGAGCTGAAGTATGCAAATTGTTATGCATATCGAAGTTCTGAAAAGTTATAATCAGAATCCACAGCCCTTCTCTAAAAGACGTAGCTGCAGTTCGACCACAGTCTTCCAAGAGAATGATCGGCGTCGTCTCAGACGAATTGTATGGCAGAACAGGGACTCTACTATTCTTCCACTGACACGGGTCGTCAGTTAAGGATCTTCCCAATAGATTTCAGCTGGAACCATGCATACACAGGGTTACAGAGGACAGTGTAACGTCTGATCACCCGTGATGGAACCATCAACAAGCAAAGCCCCAAATATGATTAAGATTAAGTGGGCGCATGAGATCAGTGATTGAATCCATGATTGATTGATCCATGCATTGGCGAGGATACAGACCACACTGTGTTTAAAAGATTTTGGTAAGAGAAAAATATGTTCCTTGTCTGTCCTGCAAATTGTTTGCACTGGAAACCTGCGAAGATTTTATTGTGATGCATAATTAGGATTCCTCTTTCTTGCGAACCATCGTCACAGTGGTCGAGACCATGGAGTTAAAGTTCAATACAAAGGCCAAGGAGCAACTGATGAATGTCTTTTAAATATTTATTTTAAAACTTAATAAGGTTTTTCTGAAGAAATAAAAGTAAATAATCAAAACAGTACAGCCATAATACAAAAAACTGACCGTTGGATGCGGCTTACGTCGCTAGCGCGACGTTTCTCAAATCCCTCACTGCATAAAATCACACACAAAAGCCCCTTTCTTCCTTTTAAGTTAAACATCCTTGGGAACGCTTCAAAGAGGGTCCTTTTCGATAGCCTGTTGTTGAGCACTTAGGCCATTAGCTGACATAGAAAATGACAAATTCACCCGGAAACTGCCCAGGAGATTTCTTTAACTCATTTCGGCAGAAGTTCTTAACTGACAATTAGTCTCTGAACAAACAGGAAGTTTTCTAATTAACCGAATATTTATCAGAGATGTGAATATCGTTACAACCTTTCTCCTCTCCAAGGGGACGGAACTCCAATTCCTCGTACTTTTTTTAACCACAGCAAGTTCTAAAAAGTCAACACTAATTAATATTAACACTAATATTTAGATATTAACACTAATATTTTTTTACACAACGTTGGATTAAGTAGCAAGGATAACATTAAAAACTTATATTGAGGCCAGTAAATAACACTTACACAACATAACGCTAAGAACTAATCTTAATCATACTTACATCATACAATAAAGAACTTACAAATTTCGGAAATATGTAATATACAATATACATTCTTAAATCTAATATTAATTATATATCTATCCAGGCTGAAAAGAGGTTATCACACATGGCTACAGTCCCTGCTGGACGAGACGTTTCTGAGAAACGAGATTCTGGTAGCACTGATTTGAACGGGAGGATTCCTAGAAAAAAGAGCCCCGGCTGAAGCGAAGTCCCGCCTAGCTACGGAAGTAATGTTGCGGCTACGCGGGATTTTTTCAAACCTCACCGAAAATGTCTGAGGTCCCGGGAAGAGACAACCAATCAGACGAAAGTTCTGCTTCTGAAGGATCACGTGATCCCAATTTGAGCAATAATCGATTACTGTTTGCCGTTCAAGTCTTTGTAGTAAGTGAGAATGGTAACCTAGCTACGTGCGTTTCCTGGAATTGTGCGGGTTTTGAGAATTGTTCCTTTCAACGTCAAGTACCGTGTAGCCGAAACATAATGTGATTGGGACCTTACGAATGACCGCTGCCTTTGTTATTATTCGTCCAAACTCCCTTCTATTTTGATGTGTGCTAAAAGTAAGCAAATTGAAGCGGCATCAAACGGTTGTTTTACGCAGATAGTTTCACCCGTCATCATCGAAGGAGTGATGTATTTTTTGCATATTATGTCAATGCATGATTCGGTATCTCTCAACAATGGGAGATCGAACCCGTTCACTTAGCCCTTGTCAGGTACGGGGGATAAACAATCTTCTTCAATCTCCTGCACCCTATTTATAATAACTAGCGATTTGAAATATTTTTTAACGCCCGGACATTGAGGCCTTAAATGTGCGGTTGATCCACAAGAATAACACTTAAGTGGTCTTTTCACATCAAAATGATGCTCATTCTGATTTCGGAGATTTTCCTTTTTTTCAAAGGCATATCTAGCTTCCCCTCCAGACAGGTGATACTTTTGCGAATCTCTTTGAAGTTGAATGATTTTTATTGCCCTTTTGTGACTGCGAACTATGAACCGGAGAGATCTTCTTCTGGGATTCAAGTACATTTTCATACTCTTCTAACATTTCTGCTAATTTATCTGGAGTCGTTATCTTCGACCATTCGTCAATAAAATGCTGCCGCACTTCGACATTTACACGACGCTTCATTTGTTCTGTTATCATGAGATCTTTTAGAAGTTCAAAATCTGTAACTTCCAAACCTGCCATCCATTCTTCAAAATAATTCCTTCATTCAAAAGCAAAATCTCTCCAAGTGGTTTGAGTGTTTTTCTGGGATTCCGTAAGTTTGATGCGAAATTTTTCTGGGCTAAGCTTAAACCTTTTAAGTAATATCCCCTTTACGTAAGCATAATGATAAGCAGCATATAAGCTGCTGCTCTGGCTCTCGCATAATCAGCTGAACTATGTCAGTTGGCAAAATTGTTAATAAAACAGAAATTGATTGGTGAAGATTCGCACGCTTTGCTTGGCGCTCAAACACAACTAGATACAAACTAATATCGTTCTCTTCAGGATCAAATTTTGGAATTATTTTTTTTTCAGATAGTAACGGCTTTTCTTAAGCCCATTTTCTTCATTCCCATCAGTTAAAGAGTCAATTCCATTAGTGGCTAGTAATTTTAATTTAGTTGATTCAAACTCAATTTCTTCTCTCCTAATTCTAGCCTGCCTCTCTGCTTCATCTCTCCTAAAGCTATCCTGCCTTTCTTCTTCTTCTCTCCTAATTCTTTCCTGCTCTTTTTTTTCTCTCTCAAGCCTCGTTGAAGTGATATTTTCTAACAGCTCTTTCACTTGTTCCTTTCATTTCCCATAATCAGCTATCTTAAATCCAATATCCTAAGTTCAGGGCTGACTCTTTCCCCTTACTCTTCAGCCAAGGCTTTAAGATCCTCTTTCCTAACTTTTGCTAAGAATGCCATGATTTAAGCCAAAATTATGATAACAACTTAACAATTTTAGCTCCCTCGCTCTACATATATATAAGACTGATTTAAACAAATATCATTTTCACAAAGAAAGCAGTAAAATTGAACCCTTAATTTTTCACAACATATTTTATAGATCTAAACACAAATGCAAAACAATTTACTCCAAACTATGCACATTATGAGTTGAAATATAATTTGTTACTTGAGAGCTTAAGATTACAAGTACTATTAACGTTTTACAAACTTAAAATTCGGTTCCGTTAACTCAAAGGCTTATAATAATACCGTATACTTTCATCAAAACTTGAGATATGTTAAAATATGCATTCAAAGGTACAATAAATTAAACAACACATTTCCACATGCTCATACTTAAACATTGATTTCGCACACACAGTTAAAGTAAGACACTGGGGGGTTTCTAGCTCTCCCCTTTTTCCCGTTCAACAGAACCCCCCCCCCAAATTTTTCAGTTCTCACACAAATAAAATTTTACACCGTAACTGAAAATACTAACGTTTAAAACATTCAATCTTTTAGCTTAATTTCAGCACAACATTTAACATTTCAGATATTAACTATCTAGGAACACAGATTCAAACCTAAAATTTATGCTTTCTTAATATAAAAA